GTGTCTCGCGCGTCTCCGCTCAGTTTATCGTTTGCCGGTCGGCTCCTTCTTCAATGACATCGTGACTTCCGCCACGGTCATGGTGACCTTTCTGTCTCTTGACTGCCATCTGACCAGCAGAGCAGCCTTTTGAGAGTACACACTCACCCTTCGTAGCTTTCCGTATCACTTTCTCCAGGCCTTGCGTTGTCGGACCGATGAAGACCCTCTGGCGGGTTCCTCTGCATCCTCCTGTTCCTTCTGTGCGCCCGCCGCACCCGGACTCCCAAGCTCTTCCCCAGCCGGGGACCTCCGCATCCCCTCTGAACTCGTCAGCCTGTCCCCTGGCTGCAGACCCTGCTCGTTCAAGAGCGCTCGCGGTGTCACTTGCTCAGAGGGGCGGTCTCAATTGCATCTTCCGACATTCTGGCTGAGCCCACCCCAGCGTCTGGCACAATTAACACCTCTGCTTGTATGTTTCTTTAACTTCTGTCTCCCTCCTTGGATGATCATCTCTGGGAGGGCAGGGACTGTATGCCTCCTCCAGTGTTGAACTCGAGGGTTGGCAGTGTCTCCCACTTTAGAGGCTCTGGGTAAACATGCCAGCTCGAGGCCACTATCTGTAAAAACCGCGTCCTGTAAGTATGTATGTAAGAGCATGGAAATGGGCTGGAAAGAATGAGAGAGTTCCTGACCTTGGTTACCTCTGGGGGTAGGGAAAGATACTGGTATAGGGGATGGAGATGGGGGAGTGGGTGTACACATGGACATGTAAGGTGGGGGGCTCTGGTTTCAACAGTAATGATTTTACTTTTGAAAAGTAGAATAAGCTGGGCTCGGTGGCTCAGCCTGTAATCCCATGCCTTGGGAGGCTGAGGTGAGTGGATTGCCTGAGCCCGCGGGATCGAGACCCGCCTGGGCAACTTGAGGAGACCTCATCTCTACAGTAAATCAAAAAATCGGCCGGGCGTGGTAGCGCGTGCCTGTAATTCCGGCTACTCGGAAGGCTGAGGCGGAAGGATCGCCGGAGCCCAGCAGGTCGAGGCTGCGGTGGCCGGGAGCGGCCACTGCACTGCAGTCTGGGAGACGGAGTAAGACTCCAACTCAAAAAAAAATCTCTCTTAAAAAAAAACAAACCAGGTGCGCACCTGTGGTTCCAGCTACTTGAAAGGTTGAAGCGGAAGGACTGCGGAAGGATCGCCTGAGACCAGTAGGTCGAGGATGCGGTGGCCGTGAGGATGCCACTGAACTCCAGCCTGGGCGACAGAGTGAGACTGCGACTCAAAAAATCATAATAACTAAATTAAATTTTTTGAAATTTAAAAATTTTTCATAATAAATAAAATCTGGAGAATTGGACTAAACCTGACAGTAAAGACAGAGAAAAATAAACTCAAGATATATTTTAGAGGCGGAACTAACAAAATGTGTTAATTGACAAGTAGTAGCGAATGAGGGAAAAGGGAAGAATCACTGGTGTAAACAAACAAACCTCCACAAGAGGCACCAAGCTAGCTCCGTTCTTTCCGTTCGGACCTAGGAGGAGGAAGTGAGGAAAAGAAAGCGACGGCCTAGCTACCCGCAGGCTTCCGGCCTAGGGTCGCGTAGAGGCCGTAAATCAGAGCCCCCCCTCTTTTGGCCCCTCCCCCGGTGGGCGGGCTTGACGAGTGTGGCGGGCCAATGGTGAGCGACTCATAAAGCAATAACCCAATGGTTCTGGAGTGGGTGGAGTCTCATGGAATTGAGCTCGCTTGGGCGTGAGCCTCGGAGTTCCGCATTTCCGCCCACGTGGGAAGCGCCGTTGTGTAGACTGTGCTTGAATCCTAAGTGCGGGAGAGAATCTGGCCCCGGAGTGATGGGACTGGCGCCTGCTGGAGAGCAGCTGCCAGAAGCGACCTGGAAGTCAAAGGTGGGTTGA